TCCTTTCTCATCTCCTTCTGGCACCCCATGATGCAAATGTTGGTACACTTTAAGTTGTCCCAGAGACTCCTTACACTATTTTCATATTTTTGGATTCTTACTACTTTTTGCTCTTTTGATTGGGTGTTTTTTGCTTCCTCATATTCCAAATCGTTGACTTGATTCTCAGGATCCTCTAGTCTACTGTTGAATCCCTGTATATTATTCTTTATTTCAGTAAGTGTGTTCTTAATTTCTGGCTGGTCCTTTTCCATTTTTTTTTTTTTGGCATTCTCACTAAGATCCTCGAAGGTTTCACTAGATTCCTCGGAGGTTTCTAGAAGATTCTGAGTAACCTATAACTGTGGTTTTGAACTCTATATCCAGTAGTCTACTTTCTTCCATTTCTTTCGTTTGTGACATGTTTCTTTGTCTCCACATTTTGGCTGCATCCCTGTATTTATTTCTATGTATTAGGTAGCTGCTAATTCTCCACGAGTTGATAGAGTGGTGTCCTATAGGGCCCAGTGGCTTAGCCTCCCCAATCACCTGAGGTGGACACTCTTGGTGCACCCCTTTGTGGGCTGTGTGCACAGTGTTATTGTAGATGAGCCTTGATTGCTGTTGGTGTCACTGGGAGGAATTGACCTCCAGGCCAATTGGTTGTAGGGACCAGCTGCGACTACAGTGGGAGAGCTGCTGTGCAGGAGACACACTTATGGAGCAGGACTTGCTTCAGGCGGACTTTGGTGCTCACTGAGTCTGCCCCTTGAGTGTGTCACTTATGGATGTGAAGAGTTGTAATCTGGTATGGTCTCACACTGACTTCTGGGCACACGGCTGTTGGGTCTCCAGGGAGGTGCAAAGTCAGCCAATGCCTGGGGCCACCCAGCAGTAGCTACAGAGACATCTGCAGATTCCTCTTGTTTGCATTGGGTTTGGAAGTATCGATGCAAGGCCCAGCTGTGAAGCAAGGCAGGCTGGTGCTGGTGCTGGCCTTGGGCCTTTTATTGATAGCTTTGGGGCTCTCTGACCCAGCTGTAGCTTGTTTGACAGTTTTTAGGCTGAGAAAGGACAGGCCATTCATATGCAAAAGCCACTGTGCACAGCTTGGGTGGGGTTGTAAATTAGGTGGGATGGGGTCTTGGAATCACCAGGGTGGAGCAAACAGGAATGGCTACCAGTCAGTCCTGCACCGAGGAGGTCCCAGCATGGGAACAATGACCGCTGCGAGCACCTCCGTCTGGAAGAAAGCCACCCTGAGTTGTTGCCCCGATGCCAGATAGTCCAGTTTCTCCCTGTATGTGTCTGGGTCCCCCAAAGTCTTGCCCAGCAATGGAGCTCAGAGGAAGTGGGAGCTTGTAAATTCAGTTCGCGGTGCCGGCCTATTAAGAGGAGCAGCTCTCTAGTTGTAGTACTTCTACTCAGCCAGCTTTACCGTGGTTCTGGATGATAGTTCTGTATTTTAGTTGTAACTTTTATGTGGTTGTGGGAGGCAGCAAGTACAGGCATTTCCTTGCCACCATCTTGGTTCCTTGCTCTTTAGCTCTTGACTTTTAATGCCATAAATTAATTTTACCTGTTTTTGAGTTTTATGGAAATTAAACAATACAGTATGTACTTTTTTGTGTGTGACTTCCATGTCTTAAGTTTATATCATGAGTCATTCATACTGTGGGGTTATATTTGTTTGCTCTATAGTATTCTATTCTGTGACTATACCAGAATGTATCCATTCTTCTGTTGATGGGCATTTAGTTTCTAGTTTTGAATTAAGATGAGTAGTGCTGCTATGAACTTCTTTGTGTGTATCTTTTGGTTGAAAGTATGTATTCATTTTGTTGGTTATATATCTAGGAATGGACTTGCTGGGAATATGCAAGGGATCAACTTTAATGTATATTTCCAATTTTCCAAAATTATTGTTTTATTTACACTCTCACCAGCAGTCTGAGAGAATTCTCTTTATTCCATATTCTTGTGACCCACTTAATTCCTGAATCTTTTGAATTTAAACTTTTGATAGATATTATATTCAGGATTTTTTTTAAAGTCTAAATCAATAAATGTATTTTAAATGGCACTTAAACTCAGCACAACTAGTGCCAAGGCTGTGCCTAACTTGAAAGAATTGATATTATCTACAGCTATTTTTAAGGTTGTGCATGTAGAGCTATCTGATGACTGCCACCTGCTGGTCAAATGTTATAGGGCATATTGATTTTAGTATTTCTAAAATCAGAATTCATCTTACAATGTGAAGAAAAGTACATGTTAGAATTGATAAATCGGAATATGTTAAATGGTAATAAATACAAATATTGAGTAAAATAAAGCAGCAATAGGGGGTACCTGGCAGGGGTGGGGTTGCTTGTTTTCCTATGGTAATAATAAAAAAGATACTGTTTAGCAGACACCTTAACAAAGTGAGGGAACAAGTTATGTATCTATGTGGGGGGAAATGCAGAGACATAGGTTCCAGGCCAAGAAACAGGAAAGTACAAAAGCAGGAGTGTAGTTGAGGTTTTCAAGAAATGCCTTAGGAGTTAGTGTGGCTGAAGTGGGTGAGTGTGTGTGGCTTGAGATTTTGCGGCAAATATTACACAGAGGCAAGGGGATTCAGGATAGGGCAGTGGGGGAAATGACCTGGGGAAATGACCTGGAGGAGGTAGCGAAAGGCTGGATCACGTAAGAGTAAGATTTTAGAAGGGATACAGTTACAGGCCACACAAAATTAGGAGCATCTGATAGACAAGGACCCCCTTTTTCTATTTTCTAACGTCCCAGCACATGCTTTATTTAGAGAAGGCCTATCAGTGTCTGTTGTATTGAGTAACAAGAACAATCCTTGGACAGGTTAGATTGTGGAGATGTGTCTGCAAGTTACGTCTGAGTGATGGTTTCTTCTCAGATATATTTGGCATAAAATAATTACTGGTGAATGTTTAGTTCAACTTTAATGTCTCTAGCTTCAGCTCGCCATACCTTCCAAACTTTTGGGAAAGTTAACAAAATCTCAGTGACATTGAGATTTTGAAATTATATTATGGTACTAGAGGCCCAATTTGTGCAAGAGTAGGCCTTCCTTCCCCTGAGTGCCGGCACCGGCTTCCCTCTGGCACCCAGGACCCGGGCTTCCCTCGCAGCATATTATGCTTTTATTATTACAGAAGATATTCTAGAGCATGTCACTTTTGTTGAGGGGGATCTTACAGAGGCGAGGGAATGGCTGCCTCTTCGTGTGGTGCAGTGTGAAGGCCAGGAAGGTCCTCCAACTCCCGCTCTTTAGCTTTAGGGCCTAAAATTACATCGTGAAGAGATACCATAATTTGATTTGTAAGATGCCGTATTTCCCCCATTATTTGGTCATTTAAAAATTAGTTTTATTGTGTTTTGTTGAGACACAGCACCTTAAAGGGCACAAATAATAAGAGCCTGATGATTTTTCAATGAGATCAATGTAATCAGAACAATAAATAGAACATTATCAGCACCTCTTGTGTTCTCCCTCTAGTTACTACTACTTCCCAAAGAGAACCATTATCCTGACTTCTGGACCACAGATTAGTTCTGCTAGTTTTTGAAAATAAGGCATATTTTCTTTTGCTTATACATGTCACATTTGTGAGATTCATCCATGTTGTTGCGTGTTCATTAACCTTAAAACCTTTCAGTGGCCCCACATCTTACACCCAGTAAAGGACTGATTCCGTGACAAGGCATAAAATATCTTTCTGTTTAGTCGCCTGTTTATCTCTCCAGCTTTGTGTCCGTCTCTCTTGTGTTGTGTGCGCCAGCAGTTTCCTTAGTTCCCTGACCCCACTCCCCATTTCACACCCCGAGCCTTGTTTATCTTGTGCCCTTTGCCTGGACTTGCTTACTGTAACCAGGGAAAATCCTACTTGTCCTTTAGTAGCCAAGTTTCAGAGCCTCGGTGATGTCTTTCCCCTGTTCCTCCTGTTAGAAATGCTCTGTGGGAATGAGACAAACGCTCGAAAGTGGATCCGCAGGAGATTTACTCCTGCGCAGAGGAGCGCAGTTGCCGTGATTTTCCTTTGGGGCTTTATTTCCTGATGCGGGTCTGCCCTGCCCCTCCCTCTGACTCTGACTCTGACTTGATTGGTCAGGGCTCAGAGGTCGGATTCACATTATTGCACGATTGGCTAATTCAGACGAAGGGGCGGGGTGAGGCGGAGCCTAAGGTGGCGGCCCCCTGAGAACCTGAAGGTCATATCTAAATGGCGGAGCCTGCGATGGTGGCGAGCTCCTTTCTTTGACAGAAAAGATCCCTGGTTCACCCTCACACTTCAAAGTTTATTATTCCCTCCTGTGCTACTGTGTAGCCTTTGCATCATTCTGTTGTTGAACTTTTAATGGAACAATAGAATTACTTAAATAGAGGTTTGAAGCCAACAGATTAGTGGTATTTTGAGGCATTGTTTATATTTCTTTTCTTAATAATTGTGTCTTAATTGCTTAGTAAATAGATAAATGAATTACCACAGGAAGCCATACTAGTGAGATTAAGACTATATGCTCCTTTTAATGACTATAATAAATAAGAAGAGAAATTTAAAAATACCATTATCACCCCTGTCCTGCTAATTGGAATGTCTTCTTGGTTCACTTAAGTTGGCAATTTAATATATTTATGAGGTCTTTGGCTTTTTACAAACAAAATGATCCCAACCCAATTGAAATAACTGGAAACAAGTTAGAGTCTTTCTCAAGCATGTTTTCATTTCCATCAACAGAATCCAACGTGGCGGAGTCTCGATTTTGGATTAATGCCCGACCGCCTTGATACCTCTGTGTCCTGTTTTGTGGTGAAGATATGGGGAGGGAAGGAGGCCACCTACCAGCTGCTGATTGAGTGGAAAGTCTGCCTGGACGGGCTGAAGTACTTGGGTCAGCAGGTAACCGAGGCTGCAGTTCCAAGTGGTTCTCTTCTCTGCATTCACCTCTTTAGCTTCCTGTTGATTCTTCTGATTCCATATTTAAAGATTGTTTACTTAATTAGAGAAATTTGAACCTTGCCTTCAACCTTTAATTGAAGAAATTTTTGGAGAAGGACCCTAATCTGCTACTTTAAGGATTAAAAAACAACAACTACTGGCTGCCGCCCTCCGCCCAGGTCCCGTCTAGGGAGCAAACCCGCAGCCTTTGGTGGATGAGATGATGCTCCATCCAACTGACCCGGCAGCCAGGGAAAGGATTTCTTTCTTTTCTTTCTTTTCTTTTCTTTTCTTTTCTTTTCTTTTCTTTTCTTTCTCTCTCTCTCTCTCTCTCTCTCTCTCTCTCTCTCTCTCTCTCTCTCTCTCTCTCTCTCTCTCTCTCTCTCTCTCTCTCTCTCTCTCCCTCCCTCCCTCCCTCCCTTTCTTCCTTCCTTCCTTCCTTCCTTCCTTCCTTCCCTTCCTTCCCTTCCTTCCCTTCCTTCCCTTTCTTTCCTTTCAGGAAAGAGTATGCTTTCTCATAGCACAAGGCTTCATCTGTCTTATTGGATGTCTTCCCCCTAGAATCTGAAAATTAAGTTGGAAATAAGGAACATTACTATTAAACACCTTCTTTTATGACCATAGAGCTGGGAATAAGAAGAGCTACTTACTGTTTATTGGGCGCAGGGACGACAAATGCCTGGCTTACAATCTGCTCCCCGTTCCCGGGAGTGATGGGCATAGGCGGTCACAGCGCTCATCTCGCCAGGCCCAGGCGTCGCTCCATAATTCCTTCTAACACGGTAACGCGGTGCTCCTAGGCGCAACCAGCAACACGTTAGAACTGCATAGGAAGTGAAACCTGTTTGCCACCCCAGACATTGGTTATTACAATTAATTTGATGGCAACTTGTGAAGGTCGATACTATTGCCCTGATTTCCCAGATGGGAGAATTGGTCCTCAGGGAGTTTAAGAAACTGCTCGAGATCACCCAGCTCCCTGGAGCTAAGGTTTAAACCTAGACCTGGCCGACTTAAAACTCCTTCTCTCTGTGCCGTAGCACACTTCCGTGCATGTCCTCATGGTCGTCACCCACTTCGCCTTGGGGTGAATGCCATTTCTATTTTGTGATACCTATGGGACTACTGTAACCCCAAAACATTAGTCATATCTACAAATATCCCTGATGTTTCTTTTTAAAAAAATACATTTTTTATTGATTTCAGAGAGGAAGGGAGAGGGAGAGAAAAATAGAAACATCAATGATGAGAATCACTTATTGGCTGCCTCCTGCACGCCCCCCACTGGGCACCGAGCCCGAAACCCAGGCCTGTGCCCTGCGGACGGGAACTGAGCAGTGACCTGGTTTATAGGTGGGGACGCTCAACCACTGAGGCTCACCGGCTGGGCATCCTGATGTTTCTTAATATTTTATTTACCATATACTCTGTGGTGTGTGTTTCTTTTAAAGAAACAATTTAATTCTACATATTCAGGTTAGAGAAATGTCTGTCCTCGTTTGACTTACCATGCTTTATTTATTTTGTGTCCTTCTGTAGTGATCAGAACAATGCATGTGATAGCTATTTCCTTACCTGCTGCACATTCTAACCGGCTGCAAATCCTTAATCTTCTTTACTTTTGTATTCACCCCTCTGTTTTAGGGCTGGTCTTAATCAGAGATGGTGAGATAATGACTTTAGGTTGGACCTCTCTGCTCTCTTTCAGGACCAGAAAGCTTCCTATGATAATTGTTGCATTTATGTTGGCCTGCCCAGCCTTGCACTGGAGCACACGCCCTGCCTGTCTCCCCACAGCTCTCTAGTTGGCTCGCTGTGGTTACGACTGATGCTGAGCACTTGTTTATTTTTCTTCTGAAAGTATCTTCATTTTGTGGAGGACGGTGTTTCCCCCCTTTTTTTGTTTTGTTATTCCTCACCCGAGGCTATTTTTCCATTGATTTTTAGAGAGAGTGGTAGGAAGAGGGAGAGACAGAGAGAAACATCGATGTGAGAGGAAAACATCAATTAGTTGCTTCCTGCACAAGCCTGACCAAGGCTTGGGCCGGGTACATGCCGTTGACTGGAATCGAACCCGGGACTCTTAGGTCCGCGAGCCAACGCTCTATCCATTGAGCAATACTGGCTAGGGTGAGGATAATGCTTTTTAACATTAGAGTTGCAGGGCTATAGGTCATAGAGTTGGAGTTTGTGTAGAATTGTTATTTATTTCACAAATGTTTGACAGAATTCTTTAGTGAAGTCATCTGGGTGGTAAGATTTCTTTTTAAAAATTTATTTATTGATTGATTTTAGAAAGAGGGAGGGAGAGATAGATAGAGAAATATTGGGATTGATTTGTTGTTCCACTTATTTATATTTTCATTGGTTGATTCTTGTGTTATATGTGCGTAGGCTATAGTGATTCTTTCTTCTTTTATTCTTGCTGTTGGTAATTTCTGTCTTCTCTTAGGATCATTCTGACTAGAGATTTACCAATTTTATTATTTTTTCCAAAAAACTGTATTTTGTCTCATTGAATATCTTTATTGTTATTATTTTCAGTTCCACTGATTTCTGCTTTTATCAAGTAATTAAATCTATTTTCATGTTTCACAATTGGATACTTTATGCTATTATGAGCAGTTTTTATCTTAATTCTTAAATTCTAAAGTTTTAACCTTCCTACCTTTCAGGTGAAGGTTAATTTGTGGTGGCATTAACTAAAACTCAAATCAGTTGCATTTGAAAAAGAATGGTATGCAAACAATAATTAATCAGACATTTAAAGACTTTAGGGAGTAGGTATTATTTTTAAACACTCTTTGCAAATATTCATCTTTTATTTTTTCCTAGGCTTCATGTTTTAAGGTGCTCTTATAGACTGACTGGATTGTGTTTTCTTTGAGATAAGAGAATACATGCTATCAGCTTCTGAATCCCTGTACTTTAAGAATAGTCTCTCCATAACAACCTCAAGAAGTGTTTGTGGAAAATACATGTGAATGATGGTGCCCGTGATCTCATGTGATGGTTTGTGAGGCTTTTGACTAAAGCGGGAAGCCTTGGTAGATTACCTGGTCCAATGATAGGGATGTGTTTTCTACTGGCTTGTTAGATAGAGTCAGCCTGTTTTCCAGCACTGAAGTATCCTGTTGTAACTGTCATTCTCCAGTCATATTAAAACTTGATTGAAATGAAAGGAACTAATAGTATGTTTTCCTCCTCTCTTAGATTCATGCCCGCAACCAAAATGAAATAATATTTGGGCTGAATGATGGCTACTATGGTGCTCCATATGAACATAAGGTAAGAGCTTTTCCAAGTGCTAGTTTTGTTTAGTGTGGGTATGCCTTGGCTGATAAGGAAAAACGCGGTGTAAACAGAATCATGTTTTAAGTATTGTAAATTTGTTGTTTAGTGTGGCTTAGGAGGAATCCCTTTAATATGAAACCTTATTTTATAACCACCCCAATTCATCTTTTCTAAATCTAGATTATCTTCATTTTCCTCTAAGGAAATGGAACTGCTTTTTCTTATTCTATATAGTTCTTTGGGGATTAACAAAGAACAGTGAATTTTGATTAAATGCAATAACAATTTTATTAAATGTTTCAGATATTGTTTAGAACTTTCAATACATCTAAGAAACTATGAGTCAAGTTATATTAGAGCCAATGCTATCTCTATTTCTAAAGACAATTAGAGAAAGGAGAGGGAAGAGAATCTATATTTATTAAGTACCTACTATCTTTCCCTTACATGGAAACCCTTTCTCTGGAGACCCTGCCTAATACATCTTTGATCTTTGTCTTGCTCCTGCCCTTTGAAATATGTTTTTATTGATTTCAGAGAGGAAGGGAGAGGGGGAGAGAGAGAGAGAGAAACATCAATGATGAGAGAGAATCATTGATTGGCTGCCTCCTGCACACCCCACACTAGGGATCGAGCCTGCAACCCGGGCACATGTCCTGACTGGGAATCGAACCATTATCTCTTGATTCTTAGGTTGATGCTCAACCACTGAGCCACCCTGGCCAGGCTGTATGCCAATTATTAAACTAGGTACTGAAAGGGAAAAGCAACAGTCTTTCCCTCCTGTTGTGGAGAAAAACCTGGTTCTTTGCTACTGTGTTTCTCTTCCCTCTGTGTCTCCTTTAGTATTCCCACTTCACTTTTGACACTTCTGGTCACCCATTGTGTGGAGGTTTTTTTCCTAAACCAACAACTTATTCTCTGTGACACCAGCTGGATGTCCTGCAATTGAACTCAATTCTCACACTATCTACCACAGGGTAAGGGCTCAGTGCCACAAGACTGCCCTTGCCTACCCCCACTTCAGATGCCAGTTACAATACCAGGTTGTCACCTGTGCTTCTGACCAACCAGCTATAGATCCAAGATTCCAATGACCCCTCCTTGGGTTCGATTACTTTGCTGGAGTGGCTCACACAGAAACACATTTGTTACTTTATTAAAGGGTTTCATAAAGGAAACAGAGCAGCAGCCAGATGGGAGAGATGCATAGGGCGAGGTCTGGGAGGCCCTGAACGCAGAGCTTCTGTCCCTGTGGAGCTGGGGCACGTCGCCATCCCAGTGTGTATGTGTTGGCCAACTTGAACTCTGTACTTTTGGGGCATTAAGGAGGTTTCATCACGTAGGCATGATGGATCATTAACTCCATTTTCAACCCTTCTTCCTTCTCAAGAGAATGGAGCGGGGAGCAGGGCTGAAAACTCCAAGCTTCTAAGCGTGGCTTGGTCCTTCAGGTGACCAGCCCTCATCCAGGAGCCACTCATTATTGCCTCATTAGAACAAAAGGTACTCCTCTCACCCAGGAGATTTACAAGGATATCAGGAGCCGTGTATTGGGAGCCAAATATTAGAATAAAAGATGCTTTTTAGGTACTTATCACTTAGGGCAGTGGTTGGCAAACCGCAGCTCTCGAGCCACATGCGGCTCTTTGGCCCCTTGAGTGTGGCTCTTCCACAAAATACCACGTGCGGGCGCGCACGTACAGGGAACGTTGTGGAGTGAAAGAAGATGTAGTGTTGAGGATTGAGAAAGGAGATAGACAAAACAAGTATACAAGACGAGTGTGGATGGGAGACTTGGAAGGGGTCGACCTCAGTGAACGTACCTCAATCAGATTGAGGATGTTTTTAGCAAAAGCCAGCTTAGGAGTACCCTAGTTAAGTTAATAACAATGTACCTACCTATATAGTTTAAGTTTAAAAAATATGGCTCTCAAAAGGAATTTCAATCGTTGTACTGTTGATATTTGGCTCTGTTGACTAATGAGTTTGCTGACCACTGACTTAGGGGAATTACAAGGGTTTCAGGAGCTCTGTGCCAATAACTGGGGTCAGAGACCAATATATATACTAGTATATATTATTATCTGATGGGTACTGTGGGCTACAAAAGTATTAGACACATATTCACATTCTTTTAGTTAAGGAGATTAAATTGCATGTTTTAGTTGAGGTAAAACTGCATGTATTCCAGAGAGCACTAATTTACAGATAGGTTTTGAAAAATTATTTTGATATCGATTATTTGTGTCTTACAGATAATGCAGGTGAATCACAGCAGAACCTTAAATCAGTTGAAAAGACCTTAGGAATAGGTGCTCTTTCAAATGTTTGGGGACTATAAGAGAAACATTGCTGTAACTGAAGTTGGGGTGGATGGTGGTTGATAAATAGTTAGGTGGCCAGTTGAGATGTTTTCTAGATGGATTTAACTGCTAGGCTGGCAACTGGTGGGACAGGGTGGAATGAGGGGCTATTGGGCCAGCTTTTTATCCAATAAGCTGGACCTTTCAGATCCAAGTTCAGGAGTTGTGGCTTTAATACAGACATTTGCCTGAATTTCCTTTTGGCAAAGACTTCCTTTTAGGCGGATGCTGACAACTACCTGGGTGAATGCACACTCCTAGTGATTAAGGATATGGGTTTTGCCATCAGATTGAATTGTTTAATTTCAGGCACTACTGCTGCTTACCTATGACAGTGATCTTGGACAAATTGAGCTATGTCTGTGTTTGTGTCCTCATCTCCAAATGGAGATAATTTCTATCTCATCATAAGCTGTTTTTGAGGATTAAAGATGATAATGTATATATTATAAGCCTGGCACATGAATGGAGTTCAGTAATAAATTGAATTGCTATTCACTAGGCACTAAACCTTTTGATAAGAGTGAGGGGCTACATTTATAATGCTTATCATTCTGTCAACATTGTGTCCCTTTTTCAGTGCCTGACCTGCAGTGGGTGCTCAATAAAAAATTGTTAATGGATACAGGTGAAGGCTTGATGTATTTAAGACTACCGTAAAAATAAATTTTTTAAAAATACCTTTTTATTGATTTTTTTACAGAGAGGAAGGGAGAAGGATAGAGAGTTAGAAACATCGATGAGAGAGAAACATCGATCAGCTGCCTCCTGCACACACCCTCCTGGGGATGTGACTGCAACCAAGGTATATGCCCTTGACCGGAATCGAACCTGGGACCCTTGAGTCTGCAGGCTGATGCTCTATCCACTGGGCCAAACCGGTCAGGGCCATAAAAATAATTTTGAGACTAAAAATCTTGAGGGGATGCTATCTCTCTCTCTCAGTCTACTTTACCTCCAGCCCAAACTTTTGGAGTTTTATTGTTATGTAACTTGTACTGTCATAATAACTAAATATTGGGTTATTGACAAAGTACAAAAAGCATTAGATTGGTAAGAATTCTTTCCTCAGACTAAAAAATATAACAGCAATGTCTTCAGCATCCAGTAGATGGCAGTGCTTTCTCATTTTAATAAAGGAGTAGAATCCAAGTTAAAAGGATCAAATCTTTTTGGAATGAAGTTTAGGAGATTGAAATGGCAATTTGGTGATTAATTTCACAGATACAGCCATATCATTGATGATCT